TCAGGTCCTCGACAAATTCCGTTGCTATAGGGCATCTGGTATACGAATGCGAGGAGATGCTTCGGATACTACGGTCAAACGAGGTGGGAGTTTTCTGACGCTTACGGTGGAGTCTCACCCTAGTGATATGAAAAACACTAGTGAAAAATATATTTCACGAATATCGCGGAACGGATGGAAACTCTAGTGTGTGCCGATTTGATACTATGCACATGTGGAGAATGTGCGTTTTCTATTCCGGGATTAATGATAGTGAACAACTTGTCGCTATCATAGTCTCGAAGGGTTACTTTTATCACATCACATGTTCATAGCAATGTTTACATTGTTTATGCGATATAGTTTCAGATCGATTCTTATTAATCTCAGAAAATAACACACATTTGCATCGTATCAAATTGACACACATCGTAGAGTAAATACATCAAAAAATCGGCATGTTTAGTTTATGCAACTTTTAGCAGTATAATTTTTTTTCTTCACAAAGCGATATTTTCGGTGTATTGTGAGTTCCAAGTTTAATGTTTTTTTCGTATCACGGGTGAAACTCCATCACTGTAGTCTATCGGAATAATATTAATTGTAGGGGAAATTGGAATCTCACCCGTTTCGCGTGAAGTGGCGTAATACTCTGCGAAAAACTCGATATTCGCGGTGATACGCAGTGGTTTATGAAATATGTTTTTCAATAGTGTTTTTCATATCACTGGTGAAACTCCATTATAGAAATGGATAAAACTGAGCCAGCCGAGTTGGTGCAGTGTTCATGTCGTTCAGGATCATCGTGTAGTAGTCGCAGTAGTGGTAGCACGTGTGAGAATAAACCTGTGAAAAGGGGGACTTCATCGGCGTCCTCAAGCATGAACTGGTCGGATGCTGGTGATGCTTCTATTGAGGAGTCCAGTGACTCGACAGAGGAAATGAGGGAGAAGAAAAAGCATAAAAAGTAACCCTGCTGGGATTCGAACCGGGGACCTTTCGATGTTGAAACAGGTGTATGAAGAACCTTACGTGTGAGCAGCTGGCGAAGTTGCGGCAAATGATACGCGCCTTGGAGACTCTTGAGTGCACACCGTTTCCCTGTGACTGGAAATACTCTTTATCTTGCAGTGATAAAGCTGATTCATCCGAGTCCCTTGGTGAGTGTGTATGCGTGCTAGCGGAGCGAAGTTTTTTTCGTCACTGCTTAGTTACTGTGCAAGAGTCTGTATCCAACTGGGAAAGATATCTTGTATACTATAGGAAACCAAGGGTGAGGCTCGAGCGTTGAATGATGTGATCGGCTAGAATGTGCAATTTTCAGATTGAGAATCCTGGAAATGGGGCCCACTTGAAAATCATCAATATTGATGTTGGGAAGTCTGGCGCTGGTGATAGCGTGCTGAAACATATGTCATCGAAAAGGTGAATTTTTCTTGAGATGAATTGAAATGAATTTGTTGTCATCAGAT